GTTGGCTGTTACCAGAGGCGGGTAAGTTGGTCAATTCTGTGAGTGTGGATGTGTGGATGTGGACGTGTTTTAATAATAATAATAATAATAATTAACGGTTTATTGAAAGAGCTTGGCAGCCAGAAGGCTGAAAATATACAGTTACATATTTGGGGAATGGGTTACGAATTACAAATAATATACAAGTAACATAAGTGACACAAATAAGACATATAATAACTTAGATGGGGATCAGCTCAAACTACAGTTCATTTCAACATAGTGACAGTGCAAGGAGCAGTGTTTACTGGAGTGAATACACTGATTTATTACATGTTATTGATAATTTTTACAATGGTTGGGACTGGGCTGTTCTTATAGCGATCAGTTCGTGCACGTATGGGCTGGATGCGGTTGTGGTGTCGAACAGCAATTCTCGGACAGGGGATCTCAGGTGGTAGTAGGAGCCGGTGTCGGGGATGGTGTAAAACTTCTTACCAAATTTGCAGATGAGGTCGTGGTGATGGTCAGTGAGAGTCAAGGGTCAGTGTGTTGAGCGCTTCTTGATATGTGGAGTAGGAAGGGGAAGAATAATCTTGCATGCCCTCTTTTGCACTTTCTAGGTGTTTACGTTGTGTGGCATTTAGGGAGGAAGACCAGGTGGGGGAGGCATAGGTGAGCTTGGGAGTATGAATGTTGTGTATACACTGGGGAGCTCGTGCAGGAACTCCGAGGACTTGAGTCGGCGGAGCAGGTGGAGACGGAAACTGGAGGATTTGACAACTTCACTGACGTGTGGTTTCCAATTTAGTTTGTTGTCTATGGTGACGCCGAGGAGCTTCGTGGAATCTACAACCTGGAGTGTGTTCGGACCTAGGGTAATGGAAGGACCTGTTACGATCATCCTAAAACAGTGATTTATCTGTTAATTATCTTAAAAATAGTTTACCTGTTGTCATTATCTTAAACCAGTGACAAAGCTATTATCATTATCTTAAAACCGTAATATAACTATTATCATAATCTTAAAACAGTTATGTTTCTTCTAACATTATTAATATCAGTATACCGCACACCGCTGAGGCTTACCTATATTTGCCTTTAAAAAATTCTTGGTCGAGTAGCACTCGAGTGAGGAGGAGATCCATCATGGATATGAGGACCAGTCATTCTCCTCAAGTGTAACCTCAACAGATTTAAACTTTCGCTCCTTCAAACGAACCTTCTGAACATCAGTATATTTTTTTTAAGTTGTGTGTGCGTGCGTCCGTGCGTCCGTGAGTGCGTGCGTGCGTGCGTTAAAGATCAACAGTAAAGTCATCCAAAAGCTGATTTTTGGTCACTGAGGTCAACCACCCAGTGAGGAATATCACAGTTCAACGTATTTGGGAGAGCCTCACAAACGCGTTGAACTGTTGACTTCGAACTGTACACCTCAGTTTCCTGAGATATGTTGTATCAGGTCATTTGCTGTGTTTGTTCAGGCTCAGTCTTACGCTAAGTTTACAGGTAGGTCAGACATCATGCAGTCGGTTGTTATCTTTGTAATATTAAAAAGTAGAAGAAATATTAGCAGAAGTTGCAGTAATACAACAGTGTAGAAATAGTAAAAGTAGAAACTGTTTTGTAATATAATCTGAGATTTCATCTAACATAAAATAAATGTGTACCAGTAGTGAACATATTTCTATTTTTTCTTCCATTTTCCCAAACTCAATTTTGATACATGATGAAAACCGACTGGAATTACTTTCTTCGCTTGGTCAGCCAGCTGACGTTTGATGTTAGTAGTGATGTAGAGAACATATCGAGGGGCGTGACCAGCCGTTATTTACTGTGGTTTAAACTTATTCATATGTATCACAAACTGTCTGATGAGAGACCATTGAACGAACTGCAAGTGTCAGTCTCTCATATATTACACAGGATTTTTAGTTATAAAATTAGCGTGAGAGGAATGGCTTATAAGACGAGATCGCTAACACACACACACACAGTCAAGAAATGTGTTGCATGCTGGGTTAATGCTGCGTTAATACGACAGTGTTGCCACTAAGATTCTCAGGATGGGGTAAGTGGGCAGTAAACGGTGGAAAGGGTGACGGCAGGGCTGAAAATTACGTCATTAAAAAAGTATGCGTCTTAGTGGGAAACCACTCAGCTCTCTTCTTTTCCTCTTAAAAGCCTCAACAAGCCACTGTTAGGTGATTAGTATGTTGAAGACGATTACTACTCGGTAGAATGTGTGTGAAATGGATCCAAGACAGTTGTCGCAGGAGCAAGAAGATATGTGTGTGGTGTACAAGGCATTTTCTCTCTCTCACCCCGCCTCCTTTTCTTCCTTGCTTGTTTTTTAATTCACTATTTCACGATAGAGGCAACTAACTGTCTATTAATTATCCCGAGTCTTAATGTCTTCAGAACGGTTCCAGTAGTACTGTTTTTTGTGATATTAAATACGGGCGTGAAGTTAGGGGCTGGTCGGGGTGAGGACGCCGCCAGAGAGACTCGAGGACTACTGCTGCTATGTTGTGCTGTTTACAAGTTTACTTCATGATTCTGTTAACATTTCACCTGAGCTGTTACACCACTGGTCTTCCTGTTTATACCTATTCAGGTAGATTTGATGTCAATAATGAAAACATTAATAAGTGTTTCTCATTCTTATATGATGAAAAAACCTTTAATTGTTTGCGTTAAGATTAACTTCACATCATATATCAGTCAGTGGAGTACGTGATGCAAGTCATGTAGAAAGTATTAATCTCGGACTGCCCATCACTCAACAGATTCTCCTCCCGCCACCAAAACTCTGGTTTAACTCCTGGGAGCTGTGAGTGTGCGAACAATTTGTGGGATTAATAAATAAATATATATTAATTTTTCAGGAAAAATAGCGGAACTCTTTTATAAAATATTGTCTTGTACAGAAAATATATATTTATAGCCAACTATTGAGTTGTAATAAAACTATATATGATTTCATGTTTTGGATTTGCATTTTAATTACCGAAAATATTGGCTGGTTATTGACCCGGACCAAAGCTTCATACATCAATCACAGTACCTCGTTTAATAACAAGATATACATATATACAATAAACGTAATACACCGTCAGATATTTCTAGTTTTGAGACACAACAGCTCTACACAACAGCTCTACACAACAGCACTACACAACAGCTCTACACAACAGCTCTACACAACAGCACTACACAACAACACTACCCATCAGCTCTACACAACAGCTCTACACAACAGCACTACACAACAGCACTACCCATCAGCTCTACACAACAGCACTACACAACAGCTCTACACAACAGCTCTACACAACAGCACTACCCATCAGCTCTACACAACAGCTCTACACAACAGCTCTACACAACAGCTCTACACACGAAGGCAACAATACCAGCCCCAGTATTTTGCATAGTCAGGTATAACTCTTAGAATTTCAGAGATAAAAATGAATAATCTTCATCGAGAAGTATTCATCATTACCTTTGTTGAAGTATGTTAACCTGAGTTGTGTACCGCCATGACGGCCTTCGTGAATACATCATTATTTACACGTTGTCATGTGTGTGTGGGGGGGGAGGGTGAAGCGTACAACTGTGACTTCTTAATAGAAGGGAAAGAGAGAGGAGGGAGGAAGGAGGGCGGGAGAAAACAGAGAGGGGAGAGAGAGGGAAAGAGAGGGATAAACTGAGAAAACAGATCAAGAAGTACAAAGAAAAACAAGAGGAAGTATTCAGAGGGACCTGTACTTCTATCATGTCATTATCTTCTATCTATGGAAATTCTCCTAGAAAAATTATTAATTATACACTAGTCACCGAGAGAAAAGATTACAGTCGACCAAAACTGTTATGACTTCAAATACAAAATAATCGTCAAAGAATGATACGAGTTCGGAGCCGATGATTCTTACACTGCGAGACCAAAACTGTTACGAACCTCATATCATTTGACGCTCAGAGTAACCTCAGTCATTATTCATGCCTTTATTGTATTTATTTTTATCAATTTTTTTTCACATTAAATTCTGGAGCCTAAAGGAATCAGTTTTTAGTTTTCTAGTTCCATTTCTGGGGGATGTTAAGGTATTGGTCGTAGTATCAAAGCTGAAATATCATAAAGACTATTATTTATTTTTTTATTTTATTGAGTCTGTAAGGCCATGGGAATTAAAGGTTCTTCTGAAATGAAAGGATGTTAAGTTAAGGCCTTGGTGTCCATGTGATGTTGTCAGTACTTTTTTCTCCAGAGAGAGAGAGCGCACTGCAGCTATGTAGTCTGCAGGTTCATCCTCCTGGGTACAGTCTTATTAATAAGCCTCTCACATTTATTAGTCTTGTACGCCCGGGACGGTTGTGTACAGGAGTTTGAAGACCTGGGATAATACGTAATGAACAAAAAATTTAATGATTAAATGCATAACACAAATAGATGAATTAATGTAATGAAGAAATACATGAAATATCTCGTAATGAAAATGAATTAAGTAGCAATTTATCAAAGGATATGAATAGACATATGAACTGATAAATTAATGAAAGACGCTTATTTACGAAATGATTGCGTTTTTAAATAGGAAATCCGTGAAATCACTAATCTTTTAGAAGGGAGATATGTTCCTGCAAAAAAAAATCAACATGTAATATCTCTCGTAAATCCTTTTCAGTGTGAACATTGTATGAAAAAGAAATATTCAAACTAACATGAAAAATAGAAATTCACCCAGTCACAGAGGATGAATGATGCAGGGACACAGGTATTACAGGCACATCCTCTCCCGGTGGTAAAATATCGCTTAAGTGGTCGTCCACCAGATACTTCAGAGAGTTCCCCCAAGAGACGGTGTTAATAAAACTTTGTCTCCAAAATATTCCCAACTGCTGCTGTTACTTAAGACTTATAAAGTTAGTGATCAAGTTAGTGCATTACTCATTTTTCAAGGGAGTTTAGGATGAAGGACAGTCTTTCACCTTAGCCAGCTTCTTCTGTGTATGATGAATTAATCTTTTGAGTGCAATGATCTTAACTCTTTGAGTTCAATAACAAAGGCCCTTGAGTAAGATAACTTAATTCTTTTATACCGCGATCGACATCTGTCGTGTTCCCCATCTGTCGTGTTCCCCTTCTGCCGTGTTCCCCATCTGCCGTGTTCCCCGTCTGTCGTGTTCCCCATCTGCCGTTCCCCATCTGCCGTGTTCCCGCTCTGCCGTGTTCCCGTCTGCCGTGTTCCCTCTGCCGTGTCCCTCTGCCGTGTTCCCACTCGCCGTGATCTGTCGTGTTCCCCATCTGCCGTTCCCCATCTGCCGTGTTCCCGTCTGCCGTGTTCCCCATCTGCCGTCCCCCCTCTGCCGTGTTCTGCCGTGCCCCCTGCCGTGTTCCCCATCTGCCGTGATCTGTCGTGTTCCCCATCTGCCGTGTTCCCATCTGCCGTGTTCCCATCTGCCGTTCCCCATCTGCCGTGTTCCCCATCTGCCGTGTTCCCCATCTGCCGTGTTCCCCATCTGCCGTGTTCCCCATCTGTCGTTCCCCATCTGCCGTGTTCCCATCTGTCGTGTTCCCATCTGTCGTGTTCCCCATCTGCCGCGTCCTCATCTGCCGTTCCCCATCTGCCGTGTTCCCCATCTGTCTTGTTCCCCATGCATTTTACCCCATCTGCCGTTTCCCCATCTGCCGTGTTCCCATCTGTCGTGCCCCATCTGCCGTGTTCCCATGTGCATTTTACCCCATCTGTCGATCCCCATCTGCCGTGTTCCCATCTGTCGTGTTCCCCATCTGCCGTTCCCCATCTGCCGTGATCCCCATCTGCCGTGATCCCCATCTGCCGTGTTCCATCTGCCGTGATCCCCATCTGCCGGATCCCATCTGCCGCCCCATCTGTCGTGATCCCCATCTGCCGTGTTCCCCATCTGTCGTGATCCCCATCTGCCGTTCCCCATCTGCCGTGATCCCATCTGCCGTGATCCCCATCTGCCGTGCTCCCCATCTGTCGTGATCCCCATCTGCCGTGATCCCATCTGCCGTGTTCTCCATCTGCCTGATCCCATCTGCCGTGATCCCATCTGCCGTGCTCCCCATCTGTCGTGATCCCCATCTGCCGTGTTCCCCATCTGTCGTGATCCCCATCTGCCGTGTTCCCCATCTGTCGTGATCCCCATCTGCCGTGTTTCCCATCTGCCGTGTTCCCCAGCTGGTCTTCGCTCATCTAATTTCCACAGATGGTCTCCAGTCTTTTTATCTTTCACGTTGGGCCGTGTGTGTCTCTCTCACTCTGTCTCTCACTGTGAGATATTGCCTTCTCTTCACTTCTTCCTTCGTGGTGATGTTGCCGTCTCGTCTCGCTCTCTTAGGCCAGTATATCATGAAACCATTTTTCTTGTCATGTTGACACCTTACATTATTTTCTTATTATTTTTATTAATTTATGTTATCTCTTATTATTTTATATTGTTCTTTATTACTTATGGCTCCTTATATCTTTATTGTCCTTATTACTTTATTTTGCTATTTATTCCTTATTTATCTTTATTAGTTTATTACGTAATATTACTTATCATACGTTATATATTACTGACCTGCTCGATACCATTATTACTGGAGTCTGGCTAAGACAGTGGTTCTCAACCTGGGGGCCTTGGCCCCCAAGGGAGCCACGGCAAGAATTTTGGGGAGCCACGGCGAGCTGTTATAAACTGTACGTTTCCATATAATGTTGGGAATCTGAATTACACAAAACTTGTATTACTTATTTTGACTTGGCAGAAGAGAATTTTCATTCTTTTTTTGTCATTTTGTTTAATCATAACGACAATCCAATTTTAATATTTACAGACTCTGGTGCTATTTTTTTTTTTACGGATTATTTAAGATTTTCACAGGTCCAGTCCCTGTCTGTGTGACAGGCGCTGGACCGAGCTGCTGATCTGACTTGTTCAGTACGTGTCCGTGTGTCATCCCTTTGCAAGTGGTGATAGGACCGAATGATCTGTCTGGCCTGGGATACCATCACGAAAACAGTGGAGTGTATTGTCTCTGAACCATATATTGTGTTTCAGCTTGACTCAACCATAATATACTCCGTAATTGGTGTTACTTATTTTGTTTCATAACTCATGTGGTCGCTGCTTTACGTGGGTGAAATATTTGTACACTTCCTTTATTAATTATTTTCTTATTTATTGGTGCCACTATTCTTCTCATTCTTCCAAGTTGGGCAGTGCTTGTCAAAGGAGGCGTGTTCTTGCTTATGGAAGTACACTTCAGCTTGCTAGCTTGAGTGTGAATGTTTACCTGTGTGCATGTTTGTGTATGACTGTATGTGTGCTTTATGTGTGAGTGCATGGGCGTATTATCTATTTGGATGTGTGTGTGTGTTTGCCATTCTAACTTTTGTCCTATTTATCTGTCCTTCTTTATCATTCTTTAGTCTTTATCACCTGTCTGTTTGTCTGTTCTGGGAGATAATGAAGGAGGCCACGAGGATGTTGAAAATTCCTCAAGGGGGAATGGAGTGAAAAAGGTTGAGAACCACTGGGCTAAGAGAAGTATTGTCTGTGGGCTAGGAGTTACACGTCCCAGAAGCTATTGGTAGTCTTGGTGAAGTCTACATACAGATAGATGAACTCCGTGATTACACTCCCCCCAGGCAACCAGCAGCATTAGTATAGGCGACTTACGGGTAGATGATCTGTGAAGGAAGTGGAAAGAATGTCAAGAAAACACGAAACACTGGTAACTGAAGAACTTCCGTTATTGCATTGAAGTGAGTTGAACGAATATAACATTGGCAATCAATAAGGTAAGAAAATAATAGTGAAAAGACGGATTACGATGTATCAACCAATCAGCAGCTTGATTGACTTGCTACAATAGTTATATCACACTAATTATATTTCATAGAGAAGAGTTGAATGGGATATACAACAGAATTTCCTCGAATTTCATCGAATCCCACTGATCAACGGCTGTATATCAGGTGCTCTTCGAAGAATTAAAATGAATTTTTTGAACAAATAATATACTGTATCTCCGATCGAGAACCACTGAACCATGAATTGTGGTGAGACCTATTGCTATATTGAGTCATGCATGCTGTATTACCCTCCGTTATAAAGTCATAGTATTTATTCCTTGTTGCAATTTCTCCTTTGTAATATTTTTTTTCTTTTACACAACCCTTCGGGAATATTTTACATACATTTTTAAAACATGGTCTAATAATTATACGACTGGTCAGGAGGCAATAACTCGCAATGTTGCGTGTTGTTGTCTTTAATCTGAGATATGACTCACCTACACAGTAACAGTGAGTCCTCCTGTAACACTTCTCTTTACTGAACAGTTTCCATCAGAGAGCGTTATGGTAATCATGGTTTTTGTTGAATTAAAAATGGAGTACGGTTCGTGTTGATCTTCAAATACTACTTTTTGCTGCAAAAATATAACCTCCAACCTCCCCTTTTTGCCTTACCTTCACCATTTTATTACCGAAAAATCCTAATCCAAAAATAGCTACCCTAGCTGAGTTAGTTAAACCGCAGCAGACTTATGCGGCAGTCTGCGACTGTTGTTGGTTTAAGGGCGGAAGATTTGTTCCCCTGAGACACAGCAAAGTAGACCTGAACTAGGATAAAGAAATAGGCAACACCTAAACCAGGCCACGGCGTAACTTCTGGGTTGCTGCTTCTGTTCTCATAACACCTCAACCAGTCTGGTGTAGAAGCACTTTGTGCTAGGTCCCATCTTACCCGATATTGGGAACATCAGAGAAGTGAAATTGCCCTGGTCTATGTTCTGAATTCTCTCTCCATTCTTTCTGTTCTTTTAGTTTTCGTTTTTCCCGTGTGCAGCTTCGAGAGACAGGTCTCAGTGGCTTGCGGCCGTCATAGGATCGAATATTCTGATCCAGAATCCTCTAACACACTGACGTCCACCCGGGCTTCGTTGGTTGTGTCATGTGGATAAAACGCTCGCCGTCCAGTCGGAGAAGGGTCGGTTTCACAGTGACGTCGCGGCATATCTCTTTCAACATATTTGCTGTAAGGTCCCTTACTTCATCGTGCTTCATGCAAACGAAACCTCCTTTCTTGTACACCATTGTTGATGTCGTAGGATGAGCATTGAGGAACCCATCTCTTCTGCTACTTCTACTTTTCTCTTCAAGATCTCTGGCAGTTGTTGCATCAATTGTTGATGGTTTTCGCTGTGTGTGTGATGCCGCTCTGTCGTAATGGAATGTTGAAATTTGAAAATTTTATCTTCTTGTTTTAAAGACGATCACTCCTCCAGACACTTTACAACCGTATTATAAACATTGTCTCTGTTCATACCTCAGTTGGACGAATTGTACCATTTCCCAGGTACACACAAGACTTACCTCCTCCTCCTCCCTCCCCCCTCATTTCCTTCCTCCTCCTCATTTTCTTCCTCTTCCTGTAACTCTTCCAGCTGTAAACTTGGTAAATTAGGTTTCCTTTTCATAAATGTAAACTTCATAAGAACTACATTACAAGGATAAACTAAAGAAAGTAAATTTCCGTTGAAGTGCCAGATGTTGTAGTGATGGTGTCTGAAGAGTGCCAGTTGTTGTGGTGATGGTGGTGGAGGAGTGCCAGTTATTGTGGTGATGGTGGTGGAGGAGTGCCAGTTGTTGTGGTGATGGTGGTGGAGGAGTGCCAGTTATTGTGGTGATGGTGGTGGAGGAGTGCCAATTGTTGTGGTGATGGTGGTGGAGTGCCAGTTGTTGTGGTGATGGTGGTGGAGGAGCCAGATGTTGTGGTGATGGTGGTGGAGGAGTGCCAGTTGTTGTGGTGATGGTGGTGGAGGAGTGCCAGTTGTTGTGGTGATGGTGGAGGAGTGCCAGTTGTTGTGGTGATGGTGGTGGAGGAGTGCCAGTTGTTGTGGTGATGGTGATGGAGGAGTGCCAGTTGTTGTGGTGATGGTGGTGGAGGAGTGCCAGTTGTTGTGGTGATGGTGGTGGAGGAGTGCCAGTTTTGTGGTGATGGTTGGAGGCGTTCCAGATGTTGTGGTGATGGTGGTTGAGGATTGCCAATTTTGTGGAAATGGTGGTGGAGAAGTGTCATATGTTGTGGAGGTGGAGGAGTGCCAGATGTTGTGGTGATGGTGTTGGAGGAGTGCCAGTTGTTGTGGTGATGGTGGTGGAGGAGTACCAGTTGTTGTGGTGATGGAGGTGGAGGAGTGCCAGATGTTGTGGTGGTGGTGTTGGAGGAGTGCTAGATGTTGTGGCAATGGTGGTGGAGGAGCTAGTTGTTGTGGTGATGGTGGTGAGGAGGCCAGATGTTGTGGTGATGGATGGAGGAGGCCAGTTGTTGTGGTGATGGTGGTGGTGGAGTGCCAGTTGTTGTGGTGATGGTGATGGAGGAGTGCCAGTTGTTGTGGTAATGGTGGTGGAGGAGTGCTAGATGTTGTGGTAATGGTGGAAGGAGCTAGTTGTTGTGGTGATGGTGGTGGAGGAGTGCCAGATGTTGTGGTGATGGTGGTAGGAGTGCCAGATGTTGTGGTGATGGTGGTGGAGGAGTGCTAGTTGTTGTGGTGATGGTGGTGGAGGAGTGCCAGATGTTGTGGTGATGGAGTTGGAAGAGTGCTAGATGTTGTGGTAATGGTGGTGGAGGAGTGCTAGTTGTTGTGGTAATGGTGGTGGAGGAGTGCCAGTTGTTGTGGTGATGGTGGTGGAGTGCCAGTTGTTGTGGTGATGGTGATGGAGGAGTGCCAGTTGTTGTGGTAATGGTGGTGGAGGAGTGCCAGTTGTTGTGGCAATGGTGGGGAGGAGTGCTAGTTGTTGTGGTGATGGTGGTGGAGGAGTGCCAGATGTTGTGGTGATGGTGGTGGTGGAGTGCCAGATGTTGTGGTGATGGTGGTGGTGGAGTGCCAGATGTTGTGGTGATGGTGGTGGAGGAGTGCTAGTGTTGTGGTGATGGTGGTGGTGGAGTGCCAGTTGTTGTGGTGATGGTGGTGGTGGAGTGCCATGTTGTGGTGATGGTGGTGGAGGAGTGCCAGTTGTTGTGGTGATGGTGGGTGGAGTGCCAGATGTTGTGGTGATGGTGGTGGAGGAGTGCCAGATGTTGTGGTGATGGTGGTGGAGGAGTGCCAGTTGTTGGTGTGATGGTGGTGGAGGCCATTGTTGTGGTGATGGTGGTGGAGAAGTGCCAGTTGTTGTGGTGATGGTGGTGGTGGAGTGCCAGATGT